GGGAGAAGCAGGGCTTATTTACCTGGTGTCGGTCGCGACTGTCGCCGGGCGAGCCGTGATGAGGCCTCTCTGTGAAGGGAAGAAGTGGCCTGAGAGTATGAAAGAAAAACTGGATGCATCTGAATCGTTGTGTTTAGAAAAGAGAAGGCTGGTGGGGTGTTAGGGTTACTCTCTTCTGTGTGCCGCCTTCTTTCTCCCGCTCTATCGTGAGTAAGAAAAGAAACTATAGGTTTAAGCTCCAGCAAGGAACACTATAATTAGGTGCCAAGGTAAAAAGTTCGGGTAATGGGATGACTGCACTGAGAATTTCTGTTGTTGGAGGCCTTTAAGAACAAATTAGGCTATACTCCATGCAGTTACCGTTGCATTGCCATTGCTGCTCTTTGTCATATAAGTATTCTGGCTTATAAACTTAGAAAGAAATGTTGAACACACAACGACTTGTCTAAAAGGTAAATGGGGATGCTTTTTATAGTGGTCCTGCACTTAGATAAATATGCAAGATTTAGGCTTTGCACTAGAAAATATGCAAACGTTTGGGCTCATTTAACACAGGGTATTTCCATCGTTTTCCTTGTTAGTGTGTGGTTTGTGCTGTATAGATTATAATTGGATTTTAATTTTGGGGTTTTTTCCTCCTGTTCTGTTTGGTTTACAGATAATGAAACACCGCCACGCATCTTACAGTAAAATGGGGGAGACTGCTGGTGGGGGATCAGCCAAAAAAGCTTTTAAATCACAAGATCAACAAGGGCCTTCCAGCAAGAAAAAAAGAACAGATGGAGAAGGAAGAAAACAAGGTCAAAAAAGAAAGGTAATCATTATTTAGGGTCAAACAAGTTAGAAAAGTAAACAAAGGAAAAAAAGGCATTTTTTTCCAGTTTTCTACTGGGATTTATAGAAAATATTTCATTAATTGAATGTAGTCCTCTTGAGGTAATGTCTAGTGTGAGCAGCTACTTTGAGGCCCACTGTGTTAACTACTCCCTGGTTTCCAGAATTTCTAGTTGTGTGCAGCTGCGCCTGTGACAAGTAGAGGGAAGCATTGCCAGATGATTAATAAAAAGGCAAGCTGGCTGTGCAGTTTTAAAGAGCTGCATAGCATCTGTTTGAGCAGAGTGATAAAAATCAGAGTTCATGCAGCTCAGGTGACGTTTATTCAGTTCTGGAAAATATTCTCTGTGTATCTCAGGTTTGGCCTAGACAACTTTCTGTTGGAGAGAGCTTGCTTAACCACTTATGAATGGCATGACCTCAGGATGCAGCTGGATAGCCAAACATCTTGTGTATTTCATATTTCATGACCCCATTCTTTGGATGGGAGGAACTAAGAAGAATGAATTGTTTTCCTTAACTTGCTTGAGATTAATTACTGTTTCTCATCTCAAAAAGCCTTTTTCGTGGTCAATAGCAACAGACCTCTGTCAAACCTTGAAGTGCTTTCACAGCCTTTTTATATTGTTGTAGATGGTTGTAGTAGCAACTGAATGGTTGCACAGCAGAGGATGTTTCAAAATTACCATATTTGCTGTAAATTTTTCTTTTCAGCAGGTCACTCAGACAGTCAAAAGGAAAGCTAAGGAACATGGGGACTGCGCCCCGGCAGGTAGGATTGTATTCTTTCCTTATGTTTGTCTTGTGTAAATTCATTGTTTTGAAAAAAACCTGAAAGTAAAAGTAGTAACTGCTGTGTTGAAACCATAGATGTCTGAGATGTCACTGCAATAAGTTTCCAAGTTTTCTTCCTGAACAGTAGCAGTGCGTATTTGCAGGACGGTCTTAGCCAGTGTTGTGGTTTAGCCCCAGCCAGCAACTAAACCCCACGCAGCCGCTCGCTCACTCCCCCGCGGTGGGACAGGGGAGAGAATAGGAAGAGTAAAAGGGAGAAAAACCGTAAAAGTGAGGAAATTCATGGGTTGAGATAAAGACAGTTTAATAGGTAAAGCAAAAGCCACACATGCAAGCAGAGCAAGGAATTTATTCACTACTCCCCATGGGCAGGCAGGTGTTCAGCCATCTCCAGGGAAGCAGGGCTCCATCATGCGTAATGGTTTCTTGGGAAGACAGACGCTATCGCTTGGAACGTCCCTCCACCCCTTCCTTCTTCACCCCAGCTTTATATACTGAGCATGACATCATATGGTATGGAATACCCCTTTGGCTAGCCTAGGTCAGCTGTCCTGGCTGTGTCCCCTCCCAGCTTCCCATGCACCCTCAGCCTTCTTGCTAGCAGGCCAGCACGAGAAGCTGGACTGTCCTTGACTACTTAGCAGCAGCTCAAAACATTGGCACGTTATCAACATTTTCTCATCCCAAATCCAAAACATAGTCTCACACTAGCTTCTGTGATGAAAATTAACTCTATCCCAGCTGAAACCAGGACAGCCAGTGTGCATTCATATTACATGTGTTGTATATGCATGTATTAATCATACGCTTTTGTTTGCAGGTAGTGTTCTTCTCTTGTAAAATTCCACCACAAGTACCCAGAACGTTTTAACGTTCTCTTCACAAGTCATTGTTTTCTCTGTTAACCTTCTGTCTTAAGACTGGCATGTGTTGTATTGAACATACAAATGAGATGAGGCCCCTGCTGCATTGAGTTTCTTGTTTATGTGTATTCCCACTCTTTAATTTTATTCTGGGTTTTCTCATTTGTACCACCAATGATTTTGAGGAAGTATCAGTTTAGAATGAAACTGCTGTTAAGAAAGAACCTTTCTATTTTGTGTTTTTTAAACAATGTGGATAGATTTGACCTGATAGTTTTGTGTCATGGAAAAATCTTAACTGTTACACCTTTGACTACAACCTGACTGAATTGAATCACAAAGCTGTCTACCCAGATTTGAAAAACCATATGTTTTCCTTTTTTTTCTTTGTGTTAACAGGAGAAAAATGTTCTTCAAAAAAGGTGAAAGTAACCAGTGCTAAAATAGGATCTTGGCAGACTCTCTCAGAGGGCAATAGGCAGTTTCTGGAAACTGTAATGGAGTCAGTAATACTGTAAGTGCCAAATATCCTGGCGGTTCTTCTTTGTTCTACAAGGAATAAAATAAAAATCATAACATTGCTTGAACTGGAAAAGCTTTGGAGCTTTCTTGGGCAATATGGCTGGCTGTGTATATTTTGTCCAGTATAATATAACACTTCCTATCTGAAGTTGGGAATTTTTAGCTAGAGAGGTTCTGACTATGTTCACTTCACTTGATGTGTTCTCTGTGCTTGCAGGCTCTGTGATGAAAATTCTGCCTTTATTTTCTTTCCAGATCGGTTTTATGCCAACAAAATGAAAGAAAAAATGATGTTCAGAGACACCTCAATTTACTGAAAGAAAGGTAAGACATTATAATTAAAAAAAAAAAGGGGGGGGGGGCAGGGGGAGAAGGGATTTAGTTTACCCAGTTGTTTTGGACCGTGCTTACAGAATTGCTCCTGGGAGCGATCACATTCAGGAAATCTTGGAAGAGAGAGTTGATGCAAAATCAAGGAGGGAAATATCTTGATGTTATGTTAATTGAAGTGGACAGGTGAGAGTTGTTGGAAGACCCACTTTAACTACTTCTTGAATCAGGTTTTTACTTTTTATACAGGGTTTAAATTTATGGACAGCTATTAATTTTGTTGTTTTATGATGGCAGCAGAAGTTTATAGCTAAATTTTCTTATATGCTAAGTTATTTTCTGACTGTTGAGGTTTCTTCAAAGAGAATGGAAATTTTGTGTTGGGACATAACTTGTAGCCCTTTTATGTTGTTGTGGGAGTACATACGTATGCTTGAGTGTCCGAGAATTCTTGGGTGCATGTGTGCTGGTATACCAGGCTCTTATCAACGTAGAGCCTGAGGCTGTGTTGCTTTCTTTGTTCATACAGTATGTCAAGATTCAAACACGAGGAGCTAGTTTTTCATAAATGGTTTTCTCTTTTAATGTTTAATTTGTGACGTGTTTAATTTCTGAGTTGCCAAACTCCTGCAATCTCATCTGAGATACACCAAACTGCCACAATTTCCATGCATCTAACACACAGAACCAACTTGGAAGAATCCGAGGTTTCCTCAGAGTCAGAAGGACCTTTGAAAGCAAACTAAAACTATTCCTGTGGCACAAAACTATGCGTTGTGTTTTATAAAAGCATTTACCAATTTTACTAAAATGATCTTTGTTTGGAAGCAGTTAAAAATCCTGCTTTTAGAACTTAGTTTTACTTTGCAATACAGAAAGGTCAGAACTGTGAAAATATTTGTCAATGTCAATTTACAGTCAGGGCGTGTACAGGCCAATGGGATAGAAGCCATACAGCGTCAGTGTAATAGCAAAGGCTAGAATCGTGGGATTTCTTATTCGTGGTTCCTTCCTTAGACATCTATTCCCCATGATTTTTGAAAACAATTCAAGACAGCTTTTCTTCCTGTCCGGATCCTTTTACTTCACTGGCAGCACTTGGGCTAAACTGAGTTTAGTTTTTCCCCAGAGAAGTCATTAATCACTTTTCTTTTTGTTTTGCAAAGAACTCTAAACAAGTCATGCTTTCCTTTTTCTATAATAAAGGGTGCTGAGATTTTTCAAGACTTTAAAGGTGCCTCCGGAGAAACTGGGCAACCTGAAGAATGTCCCGAGCCTTCAAATGGCAGAAAAACAAATGCTTGAGACAAATGAGGAGTCTTTGGTGCAATTGCAGGTATGAAGGGTGAGGAAGGGAAGCAAGTATGTTACTGATCTGTTGCTGCTCCGTGCGTTGTAACTTTTTAGTGTACTGGCTGCTAGCTTTGCCTGTGCTGTTGTGGAGGGGTTGTCACCCACCTTCGCTACAAAGCAGTGTGTCTTTTTGGATGGTTTTTCAGTGACTCAGCTGATGCTATTATCAGTATCTTATATGCAAAAGGCTTACCATCTCTGAACTAAATTTTGTTCTGTTTTTTTGTCTGTTTTGTCTTAGGAAGAAATAAATGAAGCTAAGCGATCAGCAGAACGCATTGAAGATACTATACAGCAACTGCAGTACAAAATCCACATGCTCAAGAACCAATTAGAGGAAGATGAAAAAAAGGCCAGGAAGGTATTTCTAATGAATGTGCTGCATTGCTCTAAGGAGAATGTGTTTCCAGGCTATTGCACCCAAGCTGTTTCTGCAGAGTGTGTTGTAGGAGGAAGGCCTTTTTCGGTTTTGGGAATATATCTTTTCAATCTTTCCAACTTCAGCTGCAAAATTAAGAAGTTTAGTTTTCAGAAGCTGGATAATGACAGCCAGTTTATTTTCCTACTTGTGCGCCTGATGTTTAGTTTGTTGTTTCCCCTCCAACTCTTTTTCCCCTTCTAGGTGTTCCAGGAAAATGGCAGTGGAGCACTCCACCTCCCAGAACTCCCCAAGCGCAGTTTACAGGCACCCACTTTGCAGGTGAGCACAGAATGTATTTTCAGAAGCATCTTGGCTATGAGAAGAAAGGCAACAGAATGTGGTTTTTATCACTTAACCTCTGGGGGCAATTCTGAAATACCTGAAAGTTTTCTCTCTTTTTTCTTTTTGTTTTCTTTTCATTGAGAGCTATATGCTTACATTTTAGAAACAAACCAAAACCCTAGAAAACCGGCCATTTGGAGGATCACGTCTCTTTTCCTAGGAGCCCTGTGGTCCTAGGGAACCTGTAATCATTTGTGAAATATATCTTCTGTAACTGATGGAAGGAAGACTTTTTCATTCTGTGTATTTGAATTGTTTTTATTTTAGCTGTCTTTAGGTACAGCTAGGCTGCATGAAAGTGAAATTTCTGTTGGACTTAATGAAAGCCATTTTTCGTTTGTCTATTATTCTTGCTTTCCTTCTTTAGGAAGAAATTTTGAAGATGGAAAATCAGAAAGGTCTTTTAAAGGATATGAACACTATTCAGCAGTCAGCTGACTTGAAGAACATGTTAACCCTCATTGAAAAGACCTATGAGAAGGTGGACTTCCTTTGAGAAACCAAAATAAGTGGAGTCTCCTTTGAAGAAAGAACCTAGGCCAGAACTCTGTGTTAATGTAGAGCAGCAGGATGCTGATCATGGAAACAGTATTTGCTTCCAAATGGCTTTACTGTTGTGACTGCTGAATTTCTCTTAAAATATTTTCTATGAATATTGGCATATAAATCTGTAGATGCATTCTGGGACTCTTAAGTGATCAATCAAGGTTTGGGGGGCAGGGTGGTGGACCTGTGATGATGTCTAATGATGATATATACTGTTTGAAGAGAAGGGAGGGAAATGGATCCTGGGTTTATTTGGTCACTTTTATAGCATAAGGCAACCTATTCCATTAAATTTGGACTTTTATATCACATCTGTAAATTGGTGAAGACAGTATCTCTTACCAAACAAACTTTTGTTTTGGAGTTAAGTCCTCTTTAAACCTGAAACATATAGTAAAAATATAATTATCTAATGCTCAGTTGCAAATCTCCTGTTCAACTTTCTTACCTTTTTTAAATAAAAAATATTCTATGACAGGAAATGGAATAATTTTTACCAAATGTACAGGATTATTTTTTTTTTACATTTTCATATTTACTACTTTAAAAAAAAAAGACATTCACACTTGGTTTATCCAGATGGTTGGGGAAAGCAGGTAAGAATATTTTAGAGCAAAGCCCTAACCTCAGTGCTGTATAATCATCTGATTTTGTTTACTGTCTTCAGAGGAAGAAATTTAAATCAAAAGTTTGTTTCCCATGCGCTTCAATCTCTTCTATTTTTTCCAAGATAGAGTTTCTCCCTTAAAAGACTCTGTTATAAAGTGCTTTCTCCAGTCAAATTATCTGTTAGAAGAGAGCAGTGCTCTTTGCATTGATTTACTACACAAACACATGTTCTTTTGTTCATAAGCTGCTTGTACTCTTAATGAGACAGCTAATTATGTCTATTCTCCTACGAGAGATTAAAAGCCTCTCTGTAGTTGCTACATGTAGGATCAGGAAAACCAGATGCTGTACTTGCTTGTTTTATACTGAATCACATGAAAAAGTATATAAATATTTAGAAATATTTCTCAAATTCTTGATCACTCTACAACGCGAGCACTTACTGTCATAATTTAGTAATTTAATCCAGATTATGGGTTCAGGATTCTCCTGCAGGCCAGCTATCTTAATTTTTAAGTAAAGATTTACGCCTTTGTTTTCATTAAGGGTGACTGACTTGTGAGCAATTTACTATGTGGGTTTTGAACTTCATGAACCACATAGATACCTTTTTTAAAAAAAGAAAATACAGAAGTGTGGAAAAGGGCAGTAAGTAGGAGTCAGATGTGACACAGCTTCTGTACAAGGAAAGTTGAAATAGCAGTAACTGAAGAAGAAGATAATAAAGACGTAAAGCATTTTACAAAAGCACTGAGTGGGGATTGGTTACTTACTGCTTTTTACAACATAGGAATGAGGGAGTAGCTGGTTTTGTGGCTGGACAGCAAGTTCTTAAACTAAGGTACTCTGTCTAACAGTGCCAGAAGATTCTATGTAAGCTAATGTGTACAAATAGGTGTGAAATAGAAGTAAACAAATATGAAGTGTGTGTCTATCAGAGACAATTAAATGGTTTGGACAAGGTGGTGATACATTGCTGATGAACTTTTAGTCATACATGCTGAAGTATACATACTTCCATACAGAAGTAGGATGAAGTTTTCCTTGGCTATGTGCAGTATTTTTTATGTTTCTCCAAGAAAGGCTGTAATTACAAGACCTTTTGCAATTGTTCCGATGTGGTCAGCTCCTGGAATTGCAATTTTTGGTCTCTTCCCTTCCTTCCAAATCTAGTTTAGATTGCAATGTGTTATGCTCAAAATAGTGTATAAATGCAAAGAGGAAGCAATCTTGGGCGGGGGAGCATACATACCTTTTATGTATGTTAGGTGCTATTTCTTTGTTACTCTGAAAACCAGTTTTTTCCATCTCCAGGTCGATATTTCCTGAGCTGATTGTTGGTGTGTTCTTTGTAGCTGAGGGGTCTCCTGTACCAAGCCTCATCTTTTCTCATCCTCACTGCCCCATCACTTAACACCCTAAGCCGGTATTTCCTGGCACCACATCCTGTATCTCCATTTCTCAAGGCCTTTGCTGTCATACTCGACCTGTATTTCTCTACATCATTATCATGGAATAGAATCATAGAATAGTTTGGGGTGGAAGGGTGCTTAAAGGTCATCTCGTCCAACCCCCCTCCAGTGAGCAGGGGCATCTTCAACTAGATCAGGTTGCTCAGAGCCTCGTCCAATCTGACCTGGAATGTTCCCAGGGATGGGGCATCGACCACCTCTCTGGGCAACCGGGGCCAGGGCTTCACCTCCCTCATTCTGAAAAACGTCTTCCTTATATCTAGTCTAAACCTGCCCTC